ATACTACAACATCCCATTCTTCTTCACTACTGTATTTTGCTCATTATAGATTGCTGCATTGCCTTCTGTTGGCTTTTTCTTGAATCAACAGTCTCTAGCATAATGGCCTCGTTTGCCACATACAGAACACGAGCCATTAGTTCGTTGAAATCCCTTAGACGGCTGACATCTCTCGTCGCGACTTTGTTTGGTCCCCTTGTCACAAAACCTTCTTCATGTTTATTTTCTTTTAGTTCCTTATTATTTTGTTGACGGGGGTCGACCTCTTCCTTTATAACTATATAGTGCTTCTTCTTCTTCTTCTTCTTCTTCTTCTTCTTCTATCTTTATGAGATCCCCAACATTTATTTGGTCAACGTTTCTTGATCGGCCAGCAAATTTTCGAGATTGACCAATAAAGGTTGCTCTGGCCAACCTTGTATGACAGTAATGAATCCTCTAAATTCGTGTCTCAGAACATGTATAATTTTTCTTCTCATTCTAAACTTCGAAATCTTACTTGAAAAATCTAATTTTGAAATTTCGCAACAAAGATATTTAACTTTATTAAAATATTGACTTATCGTCTGTTCTCCTTGAGTGATCGAAAGTAGTTAATTTTCCAGCAATTGCAACCTCAAGTCATTTTTCTTTAAGAATATTGTGGCCAAAGTGTTCCATGCTTCCTTCGGCGTGTCCTTATCCCTTATGTGCTCCAACAATTATTCCTCAATTGTTGTCTTTATAACGAACATGACCTTACCTGTTTTAATTCTCCACTTTTTTCAGAGCTCCTGCTTCCTCTGGTGGCATCACGTCACTTCCACCAACTACTTTCCACAAGTCTTGCTCTTGGAGATACTACTCTATGCAAGTTTGCTATGTGGTGTAGTTCTGATTATTGAGCTTCTTTACTTCGCCTACTGCTTGTAGGTCGCTCATCGTGACTTGATTTACATCATTATAATCAAGCAAGCCTTACAAAAACTTCACAATCTCCTTTTGTGCACGATCACCCAAAGCTCAAAAATCCGTCCCCAACCGCCTCGCTCTGATTCCAAATTGTTGAGTTTAAATCGCAAACGTGAATAATTTTATTGATATGAATCACTTTTACAATTTTGAAAACACACACCACTAGCACTATGCCTCTCTAATTTTATATTAATAACACTATCTCTATTTCTCTCCACTGCACTGTTTCTCTCACTATATATGCGCTCACTTTCTCTATCTCTGCTCTCTCTTTCAGACATAGACTTTCTCATCACTCATACACTTTCTCACACACACACATAATATATTTATAGAGGAGTAATGTCGGTGGCTCCCTCCTTTTACACATTTCTATTATGATGGTGAAGTTACAATCCTAATTCTAGATACATCCATAAATGGCGATGGTGATAGTAATTGGACTCTTCTAGCATCTTCTAGGCATGGATGCACTCTAAATGTATTCTCTTATGTTGGTAGCTATTATGTTCAAATTCCAACAGCTTCTAGATAATTTTTTGAATGGCAGTGCTGGCTTCATCAGAATTAGCCAAAAAAGAGTGGTAAGTATAAGATTGTGGAAGAAGTTGGAAGGTTAAATAGAGATAGCAAGAAGCCTAGATCTGATGACATTGATTATAAAGAGGAGAAACTTTGTCAGATGGCGATCCTGAAGAAGAAGAATGATCTCTCAGAGTTACCAGCCAATAATAAGAGAGAAATGACTCTTACAACACGCCAACGAGCCCTCATCTAGGAGAAGTCAAATTGAGTTCCCAAATGGATTACCCCCACAGCCACCTCGAAGTGAGTATCTTTATTTCATTTTTCTAAATTTTTGCTAATTTGCAAGAAGTTTACTAGTCATGTCTCATCTTTGCCAATTTCCTATATTCCAGAGCAAAAGGAGCAATTGTCATAAATGGAGCAGCAACTGAAGAAATCAGAGGCTGCTCAGAAGCGTAGTGTTCACGAAAATATGTTTCGGATTTAAATTACCGCAAGTGCACGGTTCGTTGACAAGTAATAAAGTGGAAATTGTAAAATTTCGAGTATCGTCCCATGAGGATTAATTTAATTTGATTTCTAATTTCGATACCTTAACCGAATCTATTTAACTCAAGATGATTGATTTTTATTCCCACAAAGATTTACTAGTTCGATTTTATCTATTCCGACCTTAACCGAAATATGAAATATGATTGATTTTTATAGCTAAGTTGTAACTAAACTAAATGAAAACAATAAATGAGGAATTAATTAAACTAAATGCAAATTATATGATTGAATGCAAATTGGAGTAACTAATAGAAAAGAAACGTACTAGAATCCCGAATCACCCAACAAGTTCACTCTTAATCCTTATTTCACAATTTGACAGCACGATGAATTGATTGAAGAATCAATGTTTCTAACTTATCCAACAATCTCTTTCGAGTAGAATTGAACATATTCTAGCATACCATTTGACTATATTTCTATGACAAATACAATATACAAGAATGCTTGACGTTTTGTAAACACTTAAAACAATTTGATAACACGATGAATTGGTTGAAGAATCAATGTTTCTAACTTATCCAACAATCTCTTTCGAGTAGAATTGAACCTATTCTAGCATACCATTTGACTATATTTCTATGACAAATGCAATATACAAGAATGCTTGACGTTTTGTAAACACTTAAAGAGTCACGTAATGCATACGGTATATTTCTATCCTCTATGAACAAAACAATGATTTATACCTTATTGAGTTTATTTTCATTCTTTCGAATACATAAAATAAACCACACAAACTCACATAATCACATGCATTTCATTATGAATGCAAGAAAGTGTATATAAATCATTCAACATCTATCAAACGTGTTTGAATATCAAATTGTAAAATAAATAATTAAAAGATCACCATGCGAGGTTCATCGTAAATCCTAGCACATATAAATCTAGCTTAACATGATATTGAGATTAAATAAATAAAAGTGGAACAACATCACCGAAAATTGACCAAACGTGATTAATATTTGCCAAAATATAAGCTATCGCCCATCCACTTGTTTCTTTTTCCATTTTGCTGTGTTTCTCTTCTCTTTGCTGCTTCGGGTGTATGAATATATTTAATTTCAGCTGCTCAACCCCTTCCAGTTTCTGTCTGCGCATGTATTTTCTCTCCTCTCAACTTCCTGCAGCGAGGGTTCCGTGTGTATAATTTATTTCAGCTCCCCCAGAACCCCCTCCCCTCTGTCCGTGTGCAAGTATAATATATATGTGCACCAAAATTCTTTCCCCAGGCCAGCCGCCAATTAATTCCCATCTAAATCAGAATTCAAAGTGCAATTGAAGTCCTAATCCAAGTGTAAGTCCAGCCCATTAACTCTATATTTCTCCAAGTCATCCAATCTTTAAAGTTAATGAGATTTAGTCCTTCAATTTCTATATTATAGACTTTAATCCCCAAAATTGTAGATTTCCTTCAATTTCAACATTCTTTCTTTTTCAATTGCTTCAAACGAGCCCCTAACTGAAACAAAAGAAAGTTAACCCAAGTTAAGTAAAAATTAATAATTTGACGACATGAAACCCAAGTAAAATGACTTAAATAAGTGCACAAAATGCACTCATTACCTAGAATGCAAAATGAGAAAGCGGCCTGGAAATCAGAGGTTTGCCTTTCATGTTGCTAAATTTTATTTTCATCCAGTTTATATTGCTTTTAGAACTTAAATGTCAGAATGAGCATGACACACTAAAATTGTGCAGGCAGAGGCAATTAGAAAAATACTTGGTCAAGATTCCAGTAGAAAGAAACGAGGAGAGAGAGTGAAGAAGCGACAGAAAGAGTTAGCACAGGCACGGTGTGCTTTGGGAAGAGGTTGTTTTTAGTATTGTTATGAAGCTCGTTAACTCTATGCTCTCATGTTTGTTGTTATATTATCATCTCAGTAAAAAAGTGATTCAAGTTCAATAATTGATTGTGTTGGAGAAGATATCCCAACAAAGGGGGATCCATTTTTGTTATGTTTTAGCTATACAAGATTATTATCACTCTTGTAAAAAATTCTTTAGAGATGCCTTCATTTTTTGTTCAATCTTTCAAAATTTCGACTTTCCATATGTTCAAACTTCTATTTTCTTCATTTACTTCCAATTTTATTTATAAAATAATTAATTAAAAATAGATTTAGTTTTTATATACTAAGGTCACAGTTCTATAGATTTGTTCACAAATTATGGAATTCACGAATTATTTTCTCGGTCACAAATCAAAAAAATTATAGGTCACAAATTATTTATCAATAACAGATCAAAAATTTTATAGATCACAAATCACAAATTTTATAAATCACAACTTATTTAATAGTAANCACGCAAAACAAAGTCAAACGAATAATATGCGGTATGGTAATTTTTTTTTTCATTGTTTTTTGGCAATTAGAACAAATTTTAGACCCAATGGTCAAAAAAATTATCACTTTAATGGATAATTTCCATAAAAACAAAGTCAAACAGACACCAAAATTTCAACATTTTTCATGTGGAAAATTATACAAATCAAACACAATTAATTAAAATTCTCAATAAAACAAATTCTAGACAATTCAATTCCCTATAATTCATTTTCTTTCCACCCAAATTTCACTTTTACAATCAAACGGACCCTAATTTCTACAACACTTGATCACATCATTGCCCAAATTTTAACAAATAGAGGGAAATGTGAAGGAGAACGTAAACAACATTGTATAGCTTGTGTTTTTTACTCCTATTTTTTCAAAACTCACTTATAATCAAACATTTTTCTATAAAAAAATTTCTTATTTTATAACCATATAATCCCCAACAAAAAGTATTTAAAAATACATTTTTACCAAAAAATAGGTCAAACAAGGGCTAAAATCTAACTTTTTACCCTCCTAACAGGAAAAATTTTCTGACATATTTCTCCCCACCCTCGGTCACAGTCGCCGCCGTCAATTGGATAAGCTCCTCCTCAGCTCCGAACACCAAAACACACAAACACAATGGCGCATTCATGCGTTTCCTCTTCTCTTAGATGTCATTCTTCCTCCCTTTCTCTCTCCACGCCAAGCCCTAGCTCCTCCGTTTCGTCCTCCTGCAAAAACCTCGCTCTGCCCTTCCAACCCATTTGCGCTAGGTCCTATCCTCATCATCACTTTTACGCTGTAATTTTATCTAATATTTTACCGAACTTGATCTTTTGTTTAATCTTCACAGGAAATTGAGAAAATCGAATCCCCAGGAATCTTCAGTGAAGGCAGTCTATTCTCCGGAGTTCTATGCATCGGATTATAGCTCACGCCAAGGAATTTGGTCAATTAGGTACTTCTGCTTTCCCCAATTACCTCAAATTATGTGCGAAGGAGAAGAAAATGATTTTATTTGTGTTAATGATTTGACTTTTACTGATTTTAATGGTGTTTGAAATTTCTTTAGGGATGATTTACAAGTTCCTTCATCGCCGTACGTCCCAGCATATGCGCAAGGGGGGCAAGGACCACCTCCGATGGTTCAGGAACGGTTCATGAGTGTTATTAGCCAGCTTTTTCAGCATGTAAGGCAATATTATTCTAATTGAACTTGTGAGTTATTACCTGTCTGCCTTTACTGATGTTAAATTGGAAGTCGATTAATTATAGAGAATAATACGATGTGGCGGAGCAGTAGATGACGACATGGCCAACATTATTGTAGCTCAGTTACTCTATCTTGATGCTGTTAATCCTACCAAGGTACATTTTGTTAAACTCTATATGGTTCTTCTTTTCCATTGATCAAATTTCTTATTTTTTTGGTCCAATTAGTCTGAATTGGCAACTTTAAGGTCATACTTGTACATGTGCATTATATGACAAACATGGACATGGACATGGACATGGACATGTTTAAGTGAGATGGTAATGATTTACATGAATTATATGACATCTCATTAGGGGCTTAACTGGAGCTTGCATCTTTCTTGAACGTGACTTCATTATTATACAGTTACAGAGATAATATCTTCAGCTAACATCTGTGCTCTTGATCTCTATTCCTTTGCCACATGGAGTTAACAGATCTTTTTATTGTTCTCCCAGGAGTGAAAATGTACTACAAGGTTGGATCATTAAAAACTTGAGCTCTCTTGCAGTAACTAGGTTTAGGAATTTATGACTTCTTTTACTCCTGTCAATTATTTATAGTTTTAATCCTTCCAATCTGAGTTGTTGATGCAGAATTACATTTTGCAAAATCTTTGTCAACTAATATGCTAATTGCTATGATACACATACTGATGTACTTGTATAATTGACAGCGTAATAATGTTGGTAGCCTGACTTCTCTTTCTCTGCTTTTGATTGTATTTTGATCTCATGGAATCGACATAAATGCTAATAGTTATTGTATGCAAACAAACATCCGTGTATGATTACGGTTGTGCTTCAATTGTTACCTCAGTTGCACATCGTACTATGAAATAATTTTAATATTAATATGTCCTGATAATTTAACAGGATATAGTCATGTATGTGAACTCTCCAGGAGGATCGGTCACTGCTGGTAATTTTTCTTTTCATTGTCTCCATTATATATATATATATGTATATATATATATTTTTTTCCCCATACTTCTCATCTGGTTCCTCTCCTCTCTGTAGGTATGGCCATATTTGATACAATGAGGCATATTCGACCTGATGTTTCAACTGTATGTGTTGGACTTGCGGCTAGGTAATGATATATCGTCACTCTTGTATATAACTTGGTGCAATTATGTTATTCTTTCTTGATGGAATATTATGTTGCAGTTTTATAAACTGAATAAGTTTAAATGACTAGGCAAGCTGCTCTTATCTATTTTTATGGTTCTTTAAAAATAGTTTTGAAGCTTTGTAGGTGATTTTGTGCGAGGTTATATTATGCTATAGATATAATTTCACACATGCACCAGCAATTCATGGAATAAAATAGTAGACATCAAGATATTTAGCAAAGATTCTTCAGAGTCTTCAGTTTTTTCATATTTTTATATTATATTTGCCGTCAAATAAAGGTATTTGTCTTTTTGATAGATGTTTTGATGGGGTTATTGCTGTTCCATATTTGTATCATTCTGTAGAAGAATTATCATTTCTCAACTAAGTTTGAGTTTATTCTTAATACACGTGCAGCATGGGGGCTTTTCTATTGAGTGGCGGTACTAAAGGTATTATTTGGTTGTTTGAAGTGGTTATAACACTCTATTGCTGCTTTCTTGGTTGCTGAAATACCTCTACCTTATTTCTTGATGCTTACTATAGGAAAGCGGTATAGCCTTCCCAACTCAAGGATAATGATCCATCAGCCTCTTGGTGGAGCTCAAGGTGGACAGACTGACATAGACATTCAGGTATGTATTTGGCTGTTATTTTGTTTTCGAAGGTATGCTAGTAATATCTTTGAGGGGAAAGCAATGAATCTATGATTTTATTCTTGTGAAGATGTATGATTAAGGAGTAATTTTTAGAATTGGTGATAAAAATAGTGTAAATTCTGTCATCTTCAGTTATAGTTACAAACAAGAGTAGCAACCCTAGTCCAACTATTGGTTATTAGGCCCCTGTTTGGCCTCCATTTCCAACCACACATTTAATGGGACGTCCAACTTTTATTAACTTTTCAACCACACGTTTCACCAACTTTTATCAAAATCTACTAAAAATCTAATTTGTAGACTAACCAAATAGGGGCTAGGCTATTTCAAGCTTTGCTTGATTATTTAATGAACCAATAGCCATGAATTCAAATCCTAGCTCGGTTTAGTTTGTTAATGGAATAATCTCAAATGAGTTTCAATTGAAGCGAATTGGAATTGAGTTCAGGAACTTGGTTCTTTGCTATATATATATTTTTTTTTTGTTATTGAGATCTCATTTACAAATTGAGAAAGTATATACCTGAATTGGACTTTTCTGAAACTCCATATTTTATTTTCGAACTGGAAATAAAATTTGAAACTCCATCATGCAATTGAGTATGTTCTGCATTTTTGACATGGCATTTGCTGAGAAATGAATTGTTACCTAGGCAAATGAAATGTTGCATCACAAAGCAAACTTAAATGGTTACCTGGCGTACCACACTGGTCAAAGCTTGGAGAAGATAAACCAAGACACTGATCGTGACTTTTTCATGAGTGCTAAAGAAGCGAAAGAATATGGGCTTATAGACGGTGTCATCTTGAATCCACTCAAAGCTCTCCAGCCACTTACAGATCATCAACTGTAATACTTGGTGTTTAGATTTCACTCATTTATTGTCATTTTTCTGTAAGGGCTTTTTGATTGATCATGATTTCTGCCACTCAGGTTTGTTCTTTAAAATTTAGAATAAATGTTTTGATACGGTGAACTGTTCCATTATCAAACACCTCTATGCGTGCTTCCCTCTTCGTTGTATTTTATTTATCCAACAAAAATCTTGTGATCTCTTGAAATTTTGCATGATGTTTTATCCTAAAAATTAAAAATAATTAAGTTACTTATTTTAATGTTAACGTAAATGTTACTTTTAAAAAGATTATTTTTATTTAGAAGTACGACAAATGTGAGTTATTCAAACATGTTTATAGATAAAAATAAATTTACTTCTTGAGTAAATAACTTTTAAATAAGTTCCGCTTACGAGTGAAAAATCACTTATTTTTACCTCAATATTCCTATTTAACATTTATGATTTAGATTTTAATTAATAAAACTCTCAATCTGCTAGAAACGGAAATCAGACCAATACGTTTTTTCCCCCAAATTTTAAGATCAAACAATTTCAAAACTAAAACTATATTTACCGGCCAATTTGTTTCGATTCTGGTTTAGACTCCTGCAATTTTTATTAATTTTGAATCATATAATACATAATTTTTTATTAAAATGCTTATTAAGCTTTTACAAGATTATTACATACTTATTGAGCCTCTATATGTTCTATTTCTACGAGCGAATAAAACTGCAAGGAAGAGTTCATTCATCAAATCACTCTACCGTTTCCTCTCTCTTATTGGGACATATATTAGCCAAAGAACTGCTTCCTTGGTACCCTTTTCCATTTGCCTGTGGAAGGGCTACTTTCAAGGTCTATTATGAAAAGTTGCCCTCGATCCTTGTAATGCAACTAAAAATGTATCTCATTTGATCCACCATTTGTCATGTGAACCTTTCCTTCAAGGGAGGAAACAAATTCTTAATGAATGGTGGATGTTATTTTTTTTTTTTTAGATGATGAGTAATGAGATGTAGTTTTTTTTTTTATTTTTTAAAGCAATAATTTGATCAAAGTTTAATGAGCAATCATTGATTGTGTTCAACGACGTTGAGTGTGAAGTAGGATTTTCATGGCCACATTTAGAGGGTGTTTGGTAGGGATTAAAATTAGATTTTTAGTAGATTTTGATAGAAATTTTTGAAATGTATGATTGAAAAGTTATGAGACTCATAAAAATGTGGTTAATTTAATTGTTTGATTTTGATTTGGATTAAAATCGGGTTAATATCCCATATAGTCACTGAACTTGTACAAAAATTCCTAGGAGGTCATTGAACTTCAAATTTCCCCTAAATAATCACCGAACTTTGTAAATTTTGGCCCAATCCATCACCGACCTCAAAATCAAACAATTTTTGATGCTATGTAAGTGACGGCCAAATAAGCAAAACATGATGACTTGGACTCTTCTCTCTCAAAGACTCAAACCCACCGAAACTGGACACCACCTACCACCTCAAACCACCAAATTCCGGCTGTAACCACCCATTTCCGGCAGACTAAACGGCCGGATACCACCATAGCCAGCATCACCCCACTCCCCCCAACATTTTCCACAGTATCACAGGTCACAAACCCACCGGAATCAGTGACAAAATCAAGCCAAAACAGAAATTTAATTCACGCTATTTGCAAGTTCCAATCCAGAAATTGGAGCGACTTGGGGGATAATTGGTGCAATTGAATTCATACCCAGCATCGTTTGGGCCTGTTGTTGGATCAGGTGATGCCAATTTGTAGGTTCAATGAAGTTCGGGGCTGGAATTGAAGGAGACGATTTTGAAAAAATAGAGGCGCGACAGTCGAAGGTTCATGGGCAAGTGCAGATTGATTGGACATTGTTTTGGTTGAGGTGAAGCCATATTTGAGGTCGCCTATTCGAGAGCTACCTGACTGTAGTGGTGCGCGACCGTAGGTGTCGCCGGACGTTGGGTTTCCGGCCAACGTCCATTGTTGCGTGAGTAATGAAAGTTTGCTTCTTAGACTCCCAAGAAACTGCAGCTCCTCCAGAGTAAATATCCAACCTGAAGTAGACTTATTTTCTTCTGCACTCGATATCCAACTAGCGTTAGTATATCCTTCCAAAATTTTAGGGAACTTTTTATATTGTAGTCCAAGGTTTTTGGTTTTCTTTAAGTAACCATGAACCTTGCCGATGGCCATCCAATGTTCGGAACCTGGATTGCTAGTAATACTACTTAGTTTACTTACAGTAAAGGCTACATCAGGTCTTGTACATTGTGCCGCGTACATTCGATTTTCAATTGCACTTGCATATTCTATTTTAGCTATTGCCCTCCCATCATATATGTGTCAAAGTAATATATTCATTCCTTTTGATGATACCCCTTAACTACTAATCTGGCTTTGTAGGTATTAAGAGTTTCATCGAAATTGTATTTCTTTTTAAATACCCATTTGAAACCAATGGTTTTAGAACATTTTAGTAAATCAACTATTTTCCAAGTATTATTTGAAATAATAGAATCCATTTCATTATTTATTGTCTCTTTCTAGAATATACTATATCTAGAAGACATTGCTTCATTATAGGTTTTAGGATCACTTTTCACTTGAAAAACAAAAGGAGATGTTTTTACAACGTACTTCCTATCTACCTCTACTAAGTAGAAAGAAATAAGTTGGGAATCTATTTCATCCAATCCTAGACCTTTTTCTTTATGGTTTTCTTACTTTTTCGAGGTTTATAGATCTGAATTTACAACGTACTTCCTATCTCCCTGTACTAAGTAGAAAGAAATAAGTTGGGAATCTATTTCATCCAATCTTAAAACTTTTTCTTTTCTGGTTTTCTTACTTTTTCGAGGTTTATATTCAACATCTCTTGTAGATATCTCTTCTTGTGATTCTTTAGAATTCGGAATATCTTCATTATTTTGAGATTTTCTTGCTACTAATACATTTTCAAAAAATTCCACGTCCCTTAATTCTATTATAACATATGACTTAAGGTTTAATAACTAATAGGCTTTGTTATTTAGAGCATATCCAACAAAAACACATTTGATACCTTTAAGACCTAATTTGGTTCTCTTGAGATTCATGTTCTTACAATAAGCAAGATACCACCATACTTGAAATAATTAATATTTGGTTTTCTACATTTCCATATTTCATATGGGGAGATCTTATTCTTTTTTAGAGGAATCCTATTTACTATATGACAAGCGCTTAGTAAGGGTTCACCCTGTAGATTAAAAGGTAATTCAGAATTAAATAACATGACATTTATCATCTCTAAAATGTCATATTTTTTCTTTCTGTTAGACCATTTTGTTCCGGTGTTCGTGGTGCAAAACATTGATGTATTATTCCATTTTGTTCATAAAATGTATTGAATTCATTAGAGAAATATTCTCCACCTCTATCGCTTCTTAACGTTTTTAGTTTCATTCCTAATAAAATTTTCAACTTCAATTTTATTTGTTTTAGAATGCTAAAGACTTCATCTTTATGTTTTAACAAATATACAAAAATACAGCTAGAGCAATCATCAATGAAAGTAATAAATTATTTATTACGTGGGGCTCTTGGAAGACAGGCTCTCTCCTGAAAGGCAGGATTTATCCTGGAAGGTTGGAGTTCTCATGGAATGCAATGTGCAATATGTGTTGACTCGCTCGACACTTTGACATATCAGTGGAGAAGGCTCTTAGACCCTGACCAGTTTGAGGCATATCTCACGATTTACCTAGTCTGCGTCTTGAGGGGCCAAGGCGTAAACCGTAAGATTAGTCACCGAAGGTGGACACTTGGATATCAAAAAAAAAAAAAATCTATTACCACCTCTTGTTAGCATGCCATTCAATTCACAAATATCGAAATGAACAAGTTCAAGTAAGTTTGTTGATCTTACTACACTATGAAATGTTTTTTTAATCATCTTTGACTTAACACACGTTTCACATTTTTCTAAGTTATCAATTTCATATTGTATTAATCCATATTTAATCATTCTTTTCATAGTGCTAACTCCTATGTGTGCTAATCTATCATGCTATAAATTAAATGAATCAATAACATAGGTAAATGATTTATTTTTTATTAGAATTATCCTCAAGAGTACAAAACTTGACAATTCCTTCAGTGGAATAACCATTTCCAACAAAGTGCCCATTATGGATTAGTACAGGTTTTCCAGATTCAAAAACAGATTTAATTTCTAGTTTTCCCAATATAACTCCACTTGCTAGGTTTATATTCATTTCTGGTACTTGAAGAATATTTGTCAAAGTGATTTTCTTTCCCTACGTAAAGACGATTTCCACATTGCCTTTGCCAATCATTTTTTATCTTCCTTCAATTCCCATTTGGATTTTTTAACCATTTTCAATGTCATGATAAGTTTTGAAAAGAGACTTATTGTAACAAAAATGGATAGTAGCACATGTATCATACCACCAGCCTGGAATTTTGCATTAGATTGCATTGATTTTGCTTACTGTAGTGATAATCTTATCAATGAAATTTACTTGTCCTTCCTTCTTTGGTTGTTTCTTATGCCTACAATCTCTTGCATAATGTCCTGATTTTCCACAAACATAGAAAGGTCCCTTGGATTTATTTTTGAACTTCCCTCGATCCTTTTTTGGGGACCAAGAGGTTTTCCTTTCTTTTTATACTTGTTGGAGTTGTCCATATTGTCCACGGCATTGGCTGTCGAAGAGCCATCATAAGAACTTTCAGTCTTATCTCTTGCCCTTAACTCTTCCTCTATGCGAAAATGTTTTTAAATATCTTCCAAGGAAAAATCTTCAGAATTGTGAAGAATATTCTTCCTATATCATTTCTAAGACCCCGGGAGTTTAGCAATGATTGCTCCCACTTGAAAGGTTTCGAGAAGTTTGATCTTCACCGCTTTTAATTTGTTGATAATTATTTGTAACTCATGCAATTGAGGTAATAAGGGAATATTATCCAGAAACTTGAAATCAAAATATTTAGAAATTAAAAACTTCTTCGTACCTTCCTCATCGGCCTTATATTTACTTTTAAGTGCATAACAGATCTCTTTTGCTGAAGTGGTGTTGGTGTAGAAATCGTATAATCGATTCGATGGTGCATTTAGAATGTGGTCGCGATATATTAATTCGTCATCTTCTCGTTTCTTTCTTTCTGTACGAACCTCATCAGTGTCTTTGTCTGTTGCATCTGGAATTGGCTCCTATTTTGGATCAAGCACTTAGAAGATCTTTAAAGCCTTAAGGAGGATTTTGAGTTTGTCATGCCATCTTGTGAAGTTATCAAATCTGTCCAAACGCACTAAGTCTTGATTCATCAATTTGATTGTAGCAAGTGTAGATTTCGTCTCCATCGCAGTAGAATGACAATTATCATTTTAGATTGTTATCAAAAAATACAGCAATGGAGAAAATAAAGGAAGAAGATAATGAATATAAAATACGACAAAGGCTTGAATACGAAGAATATATTCGTTGTCCTCAAACGGTATTTGCCTCATCGACAATGCTTTTAAGGATTTAATTGGCAAATAGTTTGTAGGATTAAACAAACATTTAATGAAGATTACTAAAAGTAAAGTGAATCTTCAAACGAACAAGTGAAAAAGAGGAATTTGATTGTGTAGAGGGATAAAAATTTCTTTGAAAAGTTGGATAAATAATACAATAATTTTTTTACTTAATCATATATTTTGGGATGAGCACAACAAGTAATTATATATTTCAATCATTTCATACGAAGTGGTTCCAATTTCAAAACAACAGGTGCAATGTTTCATTAATAAACCACTAGAGAATTCGAAAAAAACCCAACCAATGGTCACATTTTTCAATTATGCGACCACATAGATTATAGCATTTGATGCCTGAAGTTTTCCTGCAAATTGCTATGTGACCACAAGTCTAAATGGCTTATGTGGTCGCATAGACCATTTTAGGGGCATGTTTTTACTTCTTTTTCTTAATTCATCCTTCATCCACTTATATGATTTTGAACAACAAATTTACAACAGTTTTTCTATTAATAGTTAACTTCGCTTTGTCCATGTATACATAAGGTTGACTTTTCTTTAATTTACGTTAAGTTTATAGTCGCACAGACTTATTTTGGATAGGAATATGGGGGGAAAATCGGGGTTCATCTCTCTGGTGATTGTGCTTAAGAAACTTTCTCCATTTGAGGAGATCCTTTAGTTTCAGGACAGTTTCATGTTTTACAGCTTCACAAGGTACCTTAGTATTTTCTTAAATAGTAGAAACATAAATATTAGTCTGGATCATAAAATCTTTCAATTTTTTCTCTTTTTTAAAACAAAAACTATATGTTCCATTGAATCCTGTGTGAAATTCGTAAATATTATATTTTCCTTGCCTTTTCTTTTGATACAGGCGTTAAAATGTAAGGACAGAATTAAGGATATTTTAAATACTTTGTGACAAACATGCCTTTAGAAAAACTTCTGGAAATACTTCTAGTCTAGTTTAAGACTTTCTTTTAGCTATATATATCGGGCTTTGTTTGAGTTTTAAAAAGTTGAAAGGAGATTTTGAAACACAAGAGTTGCTTTTGAACTCATTTGGCTAATTTCGTAAAAGTGTTTTTTGTAGTTAAAAGAACATTTAGAAAAAGTTGGTCCAATGCGATTTCTTCTAAAAGCACTTCCAGAGTAGGAAGCTCTTTTTTAAAAATTAGTTTCTTAAAAAAAAAAAAAATTAAGTTAACTTCTTTCAAAATCTCTTCTATTAAAAGCAAAAGTAAAAGCAAAAGAAAAATCAAAATCCACGCGCCCATCGAATCATATATGAATTAAGAAAGAATAGTTGTTAACATTGCCCCAATGCCCCACGATTATTGGGAGAAGTAAACAAGCTTGAAGAAAACTGCTTTAGAGGAAACAGCTTTGGGCACACATTCGAGCCACTATGTTTTTATTTTTTATGTTTAACATATATTTAGTACCGTACAAACCTACCCAATCCTTAACACTTGTACAATTGTGACAAATGACTAGGTATTTTTTTTTTTTGTTGTGCCATGTTCTAGTCAGTTTTCAGGAGAAGCTAATGAAATATATAACATATTGCCCTACAACAATCACTTGTTCAAGAAACATCAGAAGCAAGTGCTCAATAGAAATTGACTAGATCTTATAACACTTAGGATGCATGCTTGCATCAAGAGTGGTTTACAACCTTTCCTTGAAGAAATTTTTTCTCATGAAGGTTGGGAAATATGAAGATGTGGGCAGTTCTTCGAGTTCATCAAAGAAGTCATTTTCCTCTGTTTTTGGTACTGAAAGAGTTACGGAATGGCAATATAGCTGGGAATCTTCAATATTGTTGAGTACATTGGGTATTTCTTGGTTTCCTGCAAAACGGTTCTTTTCTTGATCGCCCATAGGAGAATGGCATGGAGATCGGGAATCGTGGAAATTTTCTTCATCTTCAATGACTGTGATTTTCAGCTGTTTTACTTCTACGGCCTGTTGTTGCTGTAGGGTTGTGGGTTCAGCATCATTGAGTACAGGGACTAGATTTTCTTCCTGTTCTTTTTTGTAGTAGGTGGATGATTGATCAGGGGCTGGATGATTATGAATAGATGTGTAGGTAATAATGAGCATGGATGCATCTGTTCTGCACTTCTCAACTTGTTTCTTGGCTGAACAACCCTTTGCTGTGCTGCATTTGTAGTATCCCCTGTAATAATTAAACCCAATAGAAATGAGTTGAGGGGTTGCTGTTATGGACTAACCATAATCTCTAGCTTCTATTGAAGCTAGATTATTTGGACCGTGTCTTGTTTAAACCAAAAGTTCCCCCCTCCCTTAAAATTCTTTATATGTAAAATAAAAGGTTGATTCAATCGAGTAGAAAGTGTATAGTACAGGCTCTATCAGTTGTACGGCAGGGCTGAGGGATTTTGGGGCAAGGACAAATTTTGGTGGAGAAAACCCCATATTTCACCTCAAGGTTAAAAAGCTACTTTTCTTAAAGACAAAGATCAGAAAAGCTTGTTGCACTTGTAGAAATTCACTTAACATGATCAATAATTAATTATTTATCACCTTCGCAGAGCTTAGAAGAAGAAAAGCATAATTGTGAAGGAAAATAAACCTTGGATAAGGAGATCCTTTGATGGGTTTTTGCCCATATTTCCTCCAAGACCAACAATCAGGAGGTGCTTCACTTTTCTGCCTTATATCATTTTCTTCTATTTTCACGCCCACTACAATCCTCTGAGCCATACCCCTACAAAATCAAGAAAATTTTGAAGAAGACAATTTTAGAATTATTAGTCATTAAACAACATAAATAATTTTAGCCCCAAAAAGAATAAAATGTAAACATGAACATTTGAGTAGACTGAACATTTTCTTGGATGCACGAGTTTGAGTTTCTGGTTTTGAAATCTTGAACTCAGAACTTGTTGAGTGAAGGTCATCCACGAGTTCTCTAACTTTTCTTCTTTGGCATTTCATCATTGTATTTGCAAAAAGAGAGGTGTTAAGAATATGGAGTTGCAGGTGAAGCAATAATGAGAGATGGAAGAATATCAGAGCCTGAATTGATTGAGAGAGAGAGAGAACAGAGGAGAGGATAAGCATAAGAAACGAAAAACTCGCAAGTTGCTCTCTTCTTCGCATTCAATCAATAAATATAAAGTTTGGAGTTTTGCTTGGACATGAATTTTGAACAATAAAATTTTACATTTATCGATAAAAATTAAAAATTAAAAAATATATATATAATAAAGTTAACTCCACGCACATTCACATTCACCAATCCTTTTCCACACAACCCATCATCCTCATCCTCATAAGTGTTAATTAACTCATTTTTGCAGAGTCAGTGTTTAGAACATTTTCAATAAACTTTCTAGATAATCAATGTTTAAAAATGGCTCCAAAAAACTCTATTTTAACTTTTTAAAATAGATAATAGGTTTGACTCTCCAAATTTAAAGAGTCAAATTCACTATCTATTATTAATGTGCAATAATTACATTTAATAAATCACATATTTCACACACTTCTTTTTAAACTATTCAAATCATTTTTAAATTGATTCATCAATTGATATACAAAAAATTATGTTAAATAATATATGAATAGAAATCAATAAATATTTCTTGAGAAAAGCAAAATGAAGAGCTTGTTGGAGTGCATTAAAAAAAAATTAGAGATTTGCTACATGTACATCACATTGTACATAAGAGTGTACACCCCCTCACATCCCACTTGCATAAAAAATTATTTTATGCAAGTGGGTCCCACCGCTTGTGAGGGTGGTGTAGACCCTTGTATACATCTTGTGATGTACAAATAAATATTTCCAAAAAATTAACTATATACTTAAAAATGCTCTTTATAATATATAAGATGCACTTTATAAATAAAGAGTCTCTTGAAAATGCTCTTACACTCCTACTTACATAACGAGCATGTTTGCTACAAGGTATTTAACACCATAAAATAAGAGATTCTTTGAGTCCCATTTTTTTCAAAATTCGTTTTCAACCACACATTATACTTAATTCATAAAATTCTTAATTTTCAAAATGGTGCTCAAACAAGAGCTAAAAAAATTTTTGACTCCCTTTATTGTCTAGTCCAATACTATTTGATCATCTCTCCACCAAACATACCACAAATATATCCTTGGTTCTTCTCAAGGAAATAGCAAAGCCAAAGTTTGCAATTCCCTGAAAAAATTGGTATACTATCAACATCTTAATTCAATACACTTGACTGAAGTAGAAAATATACTATCTTTAAAAAGATTAAATTAGATATGGACGAACAACAAGTTTGTAAATAAACCTTCTCACATTGATCATCTTGAAAAAATTTCCAAATTAAATTGATAGCGTGTCTTTGTTTTTTGAACTATTAATGTTCACGTTGCAGTAAAAATAATCGGAATTAAAAATCTCTAAGAAACTGTAAATGAATTTTTGTAACTTGTTAGAAGAGTTGGTGAATGAACCAGTTCCCAACAAGCATTCTCCTTCCCTCGATATATCCATCATTTTGATTGACCTTGGCCTGGCCTACCCCACTTATGAAGGGAAATGTAAGACTAGAGACATTTTGTCCCTTTACAAGGTAATAAGCCAAATCATATTTTCTCTCCTTTTTGTCTTGTAGTTTTGGTATTTTTCAAACGTTAATTCCGAGTATACAACTTTGTCTTTCCATGAACACAAGTTTTGGAGTATTAATTCAAAGTTGAAAGAAACGTGAGAACCCAGACAATGGATCCAAAGAGTTGCAGGCTCTGGACGTGTTTTAATCTAGGTCGAGATTTCGATAGAAATTTCATGGGTGCACTATCAATAATTGGAAAATGTATTAACATCTATTTATTTATCCGTGATCTTCGAAAACTTTGGTGGGTCTTTAATAACACGTTCAATTTCACTCTTGAATTCTTAACAATCAGCATAATTGAATATACAGTATCAGTAGACAAATCTAGTGACTTCATGTTACAACCTATTTATGAAAGTTTCTTTACGGGAACTATACAAAACAAATTTGATGCGTACGTGATAGACGTGCTAAAGATTACATAGATAAATTTCTTTTCCTCTATCTGAATATTTCCTAGTTGCTTCTATGAGTATTTCTTGTTCACCATTCCCACCTGATCTGTCTTCATAATGGCCACATTTTCTTGTTATCCTCTTTTTGTCTGTTCTTTCTGTCCTCAATCATATATTTCTTTAATTAATTACATACAATTGTCCAGTTCACCTTGGCTGAACTTGCTCGTGGATTAAAATATATGATGTGGCCGAGATGATTGCCTTTATTTAAACAATTGTCTTTGCAATGGATACATCAAGTTGTACATCGCTTTGTCTTCATTTTCTACCATTGTTATCCCTGAGGTGAAAGAAATACATCGAGAGAATTCCTTGCATTATGCCACTTACGTCGTTTGAAGATAGCTTGATTAATGATCATTGAGAGTTTGATAATATGGCAAAAGCAATGTTCTCCTCATTTCATTTCAATGATACTCAGGATGACTACGATCCTCTTATCTGGTATGGAAAAGAAGCAGTAGTTACCAAGTATCAACAAGATCCATGGTTTTATATGGAAGATAGTGAATTTATGGATTTGTTTTCTTCAGTGTATGGCTCTCGTCAAGAGAAAACTGTGGGGCCCAAAACTGAATTGATCCCAAGTCATCAACCAGATGATTGTGAGCATAATGATTTTCAGTCACAAGTTTCTGAACAAGGCAAACCCCTCAAGGATAAGGCACTACCGTTTTCCTCAGCATCATTGCAGCTTCTGGCCAATTACGAAAGGGGTTTCAATAAAACGAGAGGAGCTTTCAGTGATCTGAGCAATGATAATAATGTAGTTGGCCAGAAATTAACAATGGAGGAAATTCTGAGGATGGCTGGAGAAAGGTTCATCCAATTTTCCACCAACAAGGAAGATGGTATTTCCATGTTTATCCACCCTTATGGNTTAACAAATCACCAAGATTTGAATTTACGGATTCTATTATTTAATTTATTATAATATTAATTCAATTAAATAATAGATATTGCCATACATGCATCAATTATATATATTTAAAGTGTATATGTCCAAAATTGATTGGATTTAAAGCATAACACTTACAGAGCCACCATCATGTGAGATAATTTTTGAATTTCTGTATAAAATCTGTAAAAAATAATCTGTACTTGAAGAATTTTTCTATTTTCTCTCCTTTTTGTCTTGTAGTTTTGGTATTTTTCAAACGTTAATTCCGAGTATACAACTTTGTCTTTCCATGAATACACGTTTTGGAGTATTAATTCAAAGTTGAAAGAAACGTGAGAACCCAGACAATGGATCCAAAGAGTTGCAGGCTCTGGACGGGTTTTAATCTAGGTCGAGATTTCGATAGAAATTTCATGGGTGCACCATCAATAATTGGAAAATGTATTAACATCTATTTATTTATCCGTGATCTTTGAAAACTTTGATGGGTCTTTAATAACACGTTCAATTTCACTCTTGAATTCTTAACAATCAGCATAATTGAATATACAGTATCAGTAGACAAATCTAGTGACTTCATGTTACAACCTATTTATGAAAGTTTCTTTACGGGAAATATACAAAACAAATTTGATGCGTACGTGATAGACGTGCTAAAGATTACATAGATAAATTTCTTTTCCCCTATCTGAATATTTCCTAGTTACTTCTATGAGTATTTCTTGTTCACCATTCCCACCTGATCTGTCTTCATAATGGCCACATTTTCTTGTTATCCTCTTTTTGTCTGTTCTTTCTGTCCTCAATCATATATTTATTTAATTAATTACATACAATTGTCCTGTTCACCTTGGCTGAACTTGCTCGTGGATTAAAATATATGATGTGGCCGAGATGATTGCCTTTATTTAAACAATTGTCTTTGCAATGGATACATCAAGTTGTACATCGCTTTGTCTTCATTTTCTACCATTGTTATCCCTGAGGTGAAAGAAATACATCGAGAGAATTCCTTGCATTATGCCACTTACGTCGTTTGAAGATGGCTTGATTAATGATCATTGAGAGTTTGATAATATGGCAAAAGCAATGTTCTCCTCATTTCATTTCAATGATACTCAGGATGACTACGATCCTCTTATCTGGTATGGAAAAGAAGCAGTAGTTACCAAGTATCAACAAGATCCATGGTTTTATATGGAAGATAGTGAATTTATGGATTTGTTTTCTTCAGTGTATGGCTCTCGTCAAGAGAAAACTGTGGGGCCCAAAACTGAATTGATCCAAAATCATCAACCAGATGATTGTGAGCATAATGATTTTGGCCACTTGATCATGCCCTTGGAAATTCAGTCACAAGTTTCTGAACAAGGCAAACCCCTCAAGGATAAGGCACTACCGTTTTCCTCAGCATCATTGGAGCTTCTGGCCAATTACGAAAGGGGTTTCAATAAAACGAGAGGAGCTTTCAGTGATCTGAGCAATGATAATAATGTAGTTGGCCAGAAATTAACAATGGAGGAAATTCTGAGGATGGCTGGAGAAAGGTTCATCCAATTTTCCACCAACAAGGAAGATGGTATTTCCATGTTTATCCACCCTTATGGCTCCTCTCTCTCAGGCCTTTCCATAGACGAAGCAAGGGACGTGGAACTTCTACACCTTCTCCTTGTTGCTGCAGAAAACTTGGGCTTTAAACATTTTGACTTTGCGAGTAAAATGATTACGCGTTGCCTACAGATGGCATCTGTTTCAGGCACTCCAGTCCAGCGTGTTGTCTATTATTTTGCTATAGCTCTTCAAGAGAGAATAAATAGAGAAACTGGGAGGATCATGACTCAGAAAATAAAGCTACCAATCAAACCCTTAAAGGAACTTGCTTTGGAAACTAACAACACGTTCTTGGCATCCCACCAAGAACTGCCCTTTACCCAAGTGATGCAATTTGCTGGAATACAAAACATAATTGAAAATGTGAGAAGAGCTAGCAAGATCCATTTGATTGATCTTCAAATCAGGAGTGGAGTTCAATGGACAGCCCTGATGCAAGGACTTGCAGAGCGGCATGAGCACCCAATCAAGCGTCTTAACATAACTGCAGTTGGAACAACTGATCAACTATATATTGAAGAAACTGGCCGGAGACTGCTGAGCTTTTCCGAATCCTTGAATTTACCTTTTCGGTTCAAGGCAGTTTATGTAACAGACATGAGAGACTTCAAGGAAGATCTCTTAAATATTGAAGCTGGTGAAACTGTGATTGTTTACTCCTTTCTGATGTTGAGGTCAATGGTATCAAGGCCTGACTGCATAGAAAATGTAATGGGAGCAATAAGAAGGCTCAGGCCTGTTCTAATGGTTGTCGTTGAAGTAGAGGCGAATCACAATTCTCCTTCATTCGTGGATCGCTTCATTGAGGCACTCTTGTCTTATAGTGCTTATTTCGATTGCTTGGAAGATTGCAAGGAGCGAATCGGTCAATCCAGAATGAATCTTGAAGGGATTTATTTCAGTCGAGGGATTCTAAACATAGTTTCAACCGAGGGTCAGGAGAGGACCTCTCGAAATGTAAAGACCGATGTATGGAGGGCATTTTTCGCAAGGTTTGGAATGATAGAACTTGAACTCAGCGAGTCATCTTGGTATCAAGCTTATTTAGTTCTCAAGCAGTTCGTACATGGAAGCTCCTGCACTCTTGAACGTAATGGGAAGGGCCTGGTTGTTGGATGGAAAGGAACACCTATCCATTCTCTAACCACTTGGAAATTCTCACAGGAGAAGTGCTGGATAACATGAAAGGCATTTACATTGATATTATTGAAGGTAGTCATAGGATGCTTAACCGCCTTTACTCGGTTAGCAGGTAAGAATCGCTTTTGATCCTTTGTCCCTATTAGTTTGTTATTATGTCCAGCATGTCTGAATTTCTCAACAAAGTTGAGTAAAAGTATACCTACAGATAACATTATTGTTTCCAAAATGGGAATAGCTGTCTGTAGTTGATTCTCTAGTACCAAACCTTTCACTTAGTTGCAAATTTTGCTCAAATCTTTCATTTGTGCCACTTGAGGTACCAAACCTTTAAAAAAATCGCATATGTAGTCCAGATTGATAGTTTCCGTCTATTTGACTACCAAAATCATTAGTTAACCCCAAAAATGAAAAAAATTAATAATTTTCACCAAATAGACAAGGGCAATTTGGACATTACATACTTTTCATTTCTATTATTGCACTTCAATGTTCATTTACCATCCATTTTCATCACTATTAATATCCTTCTCTCACCCACAGTAAGTCAGGAAAAATCATCGCGTAGATGAAGATGAATGTATGCAAATGTGGTTCCCCGGCGCAGATGAAGACTTCATAGACGAACTTGAACCCAAGAAGAATATTTCTCACTTGTCATCAAAGCCAAAATCTAGATGGATGTACTTTTTTTGTGTGGTGTAACCCTCCTATGCGTGAGAGATCTAGGGAGCTAATTCCATGTCTATTACGGGCTAGGAGGGAAATAGAACCTGAAATCAGCACCCTCCAAACAACAAGACCAAATGTATGGAAGACTTGGCTATTCGGCTTTGTGTCTAGGGTGTTTGTAAAATGGGTTTGTACCTAAGTATGTATGATGGGTTTGTGGGATGGGATTTTTAGCTTCAGAAATTTAGGCTTAGTGTTTAGGCGTTGGGGGTTTTGTGTTATATGTTATGAAATATGGATGTAAAATGTGATTTGTTGAATTTTCCTTGAAATGAAGTGCCCATTTATGTATTATTGCTGGTAGTGACTTTCACGTTTCTATTTTTACCTTTTCTTTAATAATAAATTAAAGTTCAGATCACACTCCAAACGTTTTGTATGTGGTGCATCAAAGATACCAAACATTTTGTTATAGTTGCAGTGAAGGTACCAAACATTTTGCTATAGTTGCAGTTATGTGCCAAACATTTGGTGATGGTTGCATTAACAGTACCAAACCTTTTGTGATTGTTGTATAAAAAGTACCAAAGCTTTGACATATGTTCTTAATTGTCTGCACCTAATATTCGGTAAATACAATTCGAAAACCAGATGAAAGAACATTGTAATGCACGAAATTCAACTTCAACAGTCCATAACAACATATGTAACTATTCCATTCAAAATTTCAGGCCACTTTACAAAATCAGAACATTTGCTGCATATGTTTCCAATCCACATTTCAAAAAATACAGCATTTGCAAAATAATTGAAGTTTACTTAACAAAATCATAATATTCACAAAATAAGTTCACTTCCCAACAAAATTATAAAGGAGAAAACACATCATGTTAAAGATTTTGATCCTTAAATCTTGAATTTCTTCATCTGTGACTGTGAAATTCTTTTTGATGGTGCTTTTTTCTTCCCATTTGATGCACTTAACTGTGTATCTTGTTGAGACTCTAGTTGCGTGCTTGGTTGTAATTCTTGTTGTAAACTAGCTTCACCAGGCAATGGTCCCTTGCAACTTCTTTTGTTATGTCCAGAGCCCTACATTGTTTACACGTCATCTTTATGATAGTCCTTCCCATCTTAATTCTTGCAGGTGGCTCAGCTTGTGACCTCTTTCTCATTTTTTTGGGTTTGCCTGCCTGCTTTTACTTCTAAGGTTGATTCAGAGGGTGCTTCCCAGCTCTATCTATAGCTCAGGTCCTGACATAGGTTGGATAACTGGGGAGTAATACATGATGTATGTTTCCATGCTATAACATGAATCAGTGTAGTCATATATGCCTATCTCTCTTGAAAGCATGAATGATATTGCATGGGGACATGGTATCTAGTCAACTACCATTTTCTGTATACACATTCATGTTTTCTCAAATCAACACTCCACTTCAATCAATCTCTGCTGGCTATCTCAAATTTATGAATACATGCATAGTCTGCCTTCAAGTACCTTGTTTTACCATTTGTCTTCTCAATGCTTTTCATTACTCTTGGCCCAAATGCATGATCCTACCTCTATGTTGATTCCCTTTTTGCATTCATTCTTATCATTTGTTGATGTCTGATTTTCTCCAGCATTGAGATAATGGGCTTCTCTTTAGAAACAACAATGGAAGAATTGAATGTCTCGCACAAGTTATTCAAAAGAATATCACACTTGGAATGCTCTTGAAAATGTGATCTACTCCACTGGGAATATGATTTTCATTGAACCAGTTGTAAGCTTCTTCATTAACATCTTTCAACTCATTCATTGCATTCCTCCACTCTGGCATAGTTGTTGCCCTTGCTGTAGTCCAAAACAAGTTCTTAAGGGTAACATCTTTGTGTACCAAAGTGAAATTGTTGTATAAATATCTAGCACAACACCTATGCTTAGCCCGTTTACAGAATTGACTTATACAATCTACCAAACCCTTTTGTTTATCAGAAATGAATTACCAAGCTCTAGGGTTATACATCCCTATGTCATCAACCAATAAATGTATGAACCATTGCCAATTTGTTTTGTTCTCAACATCTACAACTGTCCATCCTATAGGGAACATACAATTCTCATCATCAATGCCAACAGATGCCAACAACTACCCAACTTGTGGAGACTTTATGAAGCAACCATCCAACCCAATGAAAACCCTTTTTACAAGCACCTAAACATATATATAATCTCTTAAAAGTAGGATCTAAACATTCAATATACACTGTACTGCTAGGATTTATTCCCTTTAACTCCTCTCCATAATCCCATAAAATTTTGTACTACTCAACTACAATCTCATGCACCACTTCTGCACATTTGGATCTTGTCATGTATAATTGATCTCATACATGTAATCTTATTTCACAGTTTTCACAAAACTGCCTATTGGTATATTGGGATTAGACTTGCATTTTCTTATATATATTTTTGCCAGATAACCTACACTAGTTTTTTTATTTTGCCACACCATGGTACATGTGTACTCATCTCTAAATGTGTTAATTTTAAGATTGTTGTCTGGTTGTTGGTATACATATTTCTTAAGGGCTGTTACCTTGACATCTAACTCTCAACTGTGTCATCATATTTTTCACATATCTGAGTTGCCTGAAATTTTTAACAGAGTACTAAACTATTGCAGACTTTAGAATCTTGACATTGTCAAATTTCATCCCTGTAAGAAATGAATAAATCATGTTGTCAATTACATTTTAAAATAAGTAACTAAGTATGTATGACAAATACATTACCTAACTTGAACTTTAGATCATCTATATCAGTTGCGGGGTTAATCCAGCACTCATTCATCATTCTAGCAAATGATCCCTCATGATCATTGTCACTGGATAAACTCCTAAACTCATCTAAGTCATCATAATCTGTTCCAACTTCTTTTTGAAGAACTACATCACCATCCTGCCCACCCCTTCCAGTATCTATGTCAATATCAAAACCTTTACTCAACCTAAAATTTGTGTTTTCATCATTATCATCCATATGTATTTTCTTCATGCTCATACTCCGAGTCATTGAGTTCCTCAAAAAAACCCTCTTCACATTCATCATCTGTGGAATCTACTTGTATATCAGATACATGGTTTTCTTGCTCAACATGATGATCCATTTCAGTGTCAATACGTGGTTTGCTCAACATGATACATCTCAGGTTCAGCCTTCATCTCAGGTTCAGTTTGCTCTGTTTGCTCTAGTTCTATATGTTGTTCAATTTGTTTTGCGTGCTCTAGTTCCACATCAGTTTGTACAGCCTATACCTCTGACTGATAATGTTGTACATCAAGTTCAGCAACCTTTTGTTTTGATTGACCATGCTGCACTTCAGTTTCAGTAGCATGCACATCCGATCAGCAAACAACACATCTGTTTCACCAACCTGCACCTCAAGTGAGTCTGCTTTAAAACCATCGTCAAAATCCACACTAACCACTAGTTCAGCCTCTGTTAAATCAACCTCTGTTTTTCCAACATCTGCCTCTGTTTAACCAACATCAATTTTACCAGGATAAGCGACTTCATCTACTTCCATGTCACCTATTTCATCAACTATGTACAAGTCGTCACCTTCTAATAAATAATCACAAATCTCAATAGCATAGCATGGTTGCTTCTCATCCACTGGTTCATCATGCACACTAAAATTTTCAACAATGACCACCTCTTCACCAGTCTCACAATCAACTACATAAATATTTTCATCACACGGCAACTCCAAAACCTCAACTACATGCAAGAAATACAATTTAGTCATCCTACTTTCACCAAGCCACTTCACTACATTCATGAAATCTAAATCTTTGACAAACCAGAATGATGCTTAACTCAATCTCTTCTTCTCCATCTTGTACATATATCTAATTCTACCAGAATATCCCAACATCTTCATGGCATTGTTAAGAAGAAATCCGTTGAATAAATCAGGGTCAACATAGTCCAGATAACTTATTTTACGATGCTTGTACACAAAATTTCTCATCTTTTCAAATAAAATTCCACCATGATGTAGGTATGTGCTAAAATATTTGTATTTTCCCCTAAAAAATGAAAAAAAAAAAAACCTCAACCCGTTTTAGTTCGAGCAATGCACATGTACAGAACAAATTATTACATATTATATTAACTCCCAAGTTATCAAATCACTCAACATTTTCACATTTTTCAATTCATTAAGACAATCTATATGCACGGCTTGAAATAGCAAAATTTCATATCATAAATGGAAATTTCAGAGAGCACAGTTACCATAAACATATTGGGGAAGAGAGCCTCGAATATGGGCTGTAAAATCTGATGGAATATCATCTTCTTCGTACTTGTCATCATCATCTTCCTGGATTTTCACAAGTGAAGAATAACAAATGTTTTTTGATTTTAAAGAGAAAGTGTGTAATGTCTAAATTGCTCGTCTATTGGTAAAATTATTAATTATTTTGTTTTTGGGGTCAACTAACGATTTTAGTAGTCAAATAGACGGAAATCATCAATCTGGATTGGAGCTGCGATTTTTTAAAGGTTTGATACCTCAGGTGGTACAAATGAAAGGTTTGGGCAAAGTCTGCAACTAAGTGAAATGTTTGATATCTTGGCTGCAATTTTCCTTATTATTTATGTCCGGTGTATTTAGTAAGCTAAAAAAATCTTGGCATTAATATCAGAATGCTTATAATGGATTCATAGTTGTAGCCTGTCCTTTCATATATATTATATTCTCAAACCTTACTTTTTATTCGCGTATATATAGTTTACTATAACCATGAAGGATAATTGTAAATAGTACACCAATCTATGCTTTGAGATGGTCAATCCCTTCGATAAGTTAGCCTCCTTTAATTTGAATCAAATTCAAGGAG